TTACATATAGAATTTTTTTTTTTCTAAAAATATTATCGTTTAATAAAAATCTAGTTAAAATAAAAAAAAATTAAAAAAGTTGGAAAGAAATTCTAATGAAATCACAAAAGAATCAGCAATTAATATGATCTACATATCACAGAACAGTTTCTCTTGATTTTACTTCTCACGCTCATAATGTACTAGTACCTGAAGGTAAAGGTTTGCAGAAAGCCCGCACTTAGACGCAACTAATAAACTACGTTCCAATCAGATATCTTGCAAACTGACAACTAATCTAACTTACGAAGACAAAATAGTCGCCTGTCTTTGAAGACATTAAGCTTCGTAAGGAGCTGTTAGTTTCTTATATTATTTATACCGTTTGATTTGCAAACACTTCAGCAATATTTTGTTTTAATGAATATTATTTATTATATTTAAAACTTGTGCCAAATTTTTTAAAGTGCGGCTACGTCAATTTATGTGATCTACAAAAATTCATGATAAAATTTTACGTGTGTTACTGATATATATTTATTTATTTAATATATGCTCCTAACATAGAATTGATTAAATTAGCTTGTTAAATTTACAGATGTTTTGCTAATTCAGCAGTCAAACACATGATGGAATTAGGCCTTAACTTTTTTGGGTGATTCTTATTTTATTTTTTTTATTTTTATTTTTTTTGTTTTTTATTTTTACAATAATGATTAGACTAGATTTTCTAAAAATTATTTATCAGTATTATTGTTCCTGATTATATATAAAATAAAAAATAAATATATGAATTAATAAAATTTTAAAATAAAAAAATTCAAAATATATAATTTTATATAGTCAGAATCTTTTATATAAAAATTAAATCACTCAAGTATTTTCTTTAGAACTAGTATTTATTAATTAGTTTATAAGTCACAAATACTTTCAAGAGCTATACAACTTTAGACTATCCAATTTAAATAGTTTCTTAAGGTTTTAATCTAGTTGCTGTCAAGCACGGACATTTATTAAATTCAGATACGACAATATTTTGATTTTATATTTGCAACATACGAAAGGCACCAGTTACCCACCCGGGTGACCGTCGCTGAATCACCCGGTCATGGTTTTCAGACGGGTTCAATTGATAGATTAATGCCCTTCCTCGTCTCCTCCACGTTGTTCTGGTTCAACCTAAGGATAAATAAAATTTTAAGTTTTCAACTTAGAATCTGAAAAGTTATAACAAATAAATTGATGAAATAAAAGTGTCAACATACTTTGATCATATCATCAATTCTGAGAATTGAAATGGCTGCTTCGGTTGCAGACTTGAGCGACTTAATCTTGGACATGGAGGGTTCTAAAACACCGGCTCGTAAATTGTCTCTAACTTCTCCTTTAAAGAGCTCAAGACCATAATATTTAAGGTTTTTCTTTGGATCATCCGGCAGTGCATTTTGTGATGCATTATGATATGCTCTCAATTTCGCGACTAAATCGATTGAATCCTTTGCTGCATTAACAGCTAAAGTTTTTGGAATAGCAAGGAGTGCATTGGCAAATTCTGCAATGGCAAGTTGTTCACGTGATCCCTAAAAATGTTGTAAATATGAAATGCATGTAAATTTAAAACGTCATGAACAGAAATTGATTTATTACCAGTGTTGTCGCAAAATTTTCTAAATAGATGCTCAACGCAGACTCTACTGCACCACCGCCTGGTACTACACTACCACTTTCCAAAGTCCTTTTGACAGCCGACAATGAGTCATGCAAAGATCTTTCCATTTCATCCAACATGTAGTCATTAGCTCCACGTAATATGATTGAAGCTGAACTTTGAGCTTTAGTGCCCTTAATCAAAATACATTCATCATCGGAAATTCTCTCTTGTACGACTTCATCTGCTGAACCAAGATAAGATGTTTCGAATGTTTCTTCTCCTTCGAGATTTGCAAGCGTGGAAACAAGCGTAGCTGGCGAAAAAGATAAATTTAATTACACTTCCAAATATTATATTATTTATATATGTGTATGGATAATAATAGCTTCAAGCGAACCTACCTCCAGTAGCTTTAGCAATTCTTCTGAGGTCATCTTGTTTACATCTACGAACTGCCATAGCGCCAGCATCCACAAAAAGTTTTAAGCAAAGGTCATCTATTCCCTTTGTTGTTAAAATAACATTTGCACCGGTTGCGAGAATTTTTTGCACTCGTTCAGTTGTTATGGTGGCCTCACTAAAATAAAATATATGTTATCGTTTATCTGATCTAGTCATAAAATCTTTAAAAACTTACCGTTTACGGATGTCTTCCAATTTATCTGGATCATCAACAGTAATATGAACCCCAAGGTGCATTCTTGCCTTTTGAAGATTCATGTCAAGACATGCAATTTTTGCATTTAAAATTCTTGTTTTCATAGCTAAAAAAAAAAAAAATATTAACCACCTTAGAAATTCCAAACAAACAAGATTTACCGTACCTTGAGCCGCTACTGTACAGTTAAGTGCGTGAGAAGTAAAATCAAGAGAAACTGTTCTGTGATATGTAGATCATATTAATTGCTGATTCTTTTGCGATTTCATTAGAATTTCTTTTTAACTTTTTAATTTTTTTTTATTTTAACTAGATTTTTATTAAATGATAATATTTTTAGAAAAAAAAAAAATCTATATGTAG